CAGGCCGGCGCGCCCCCCCTGAGGCTCGGGCCGCGAGCGGGCTCTCGCTAGCCCGGGGCTGAGCCCCCTGGCAGCCGGGGGGCCACAGCGCACGGCACCGCCGGGGTTCGCCCCAGGGCTCCCCAGGCTGTAGGGCGGCTGCTTGCTGTGCCTGAGCCGGGGGACCCCTTCCCTTGGGCCCTGTCGGGGGCACGCGGCCTGTTAGGCCCTGTCAGCAGTTTTGCTGAAGTAACAGGAAGCAGGCGGCTGTTATTCTGCAAAGGGACTGACCCTTTGCCGGGGCTTCTCTGTAATTCCCACTGTTCGGGGCTTTCCAGGGCTGGGTACGCCCAGTGCGGTGCCTGGGCAGGCCCTGTGCCTCCTGCCCAAGGTCTGGTAACCAAGTCCTGCCCCAGAGCACCCAGCAGAGCCCAGCATGAGGAGAGGCCGAAGTCCACCCTAGCCCAGAGAGAAGGGGGAAGGGGATTTTTGGGATGGTGGTGGCAGGAAACTCAGGGTGGGACCCGTGTGCCAGCAGGGATGGCAGGCAGGAGCCAGGACCGGAGCCTGCGGGAGGAGCTGACGTGTGCTATCTGCTGCGAGCTCTTCAGCGAGCCCGTCATGCTGGACTGCATGCACCACTTCTGCAAGGCCTGCATCCAGGGCTACTGGGAGAGCTGCACCCGCATCCCCTCCTGTCCCCAGTGCCGCCGTGAGTTCCCCAGCCGGGCTTTCCGCACCCACTACCTGCTGTCGGGGCTGGTGGAGAAGGTACGACGCTGTGGTTCCACGGAGCACCGGCACAGGATGCAGGTGAGTGGCTTCTGGTCGGCTCGGGAAGAAGGGGATGGGTGCCGCATCAGCCCTGTGCGGGCAGCAAGAGCCCACCGCCCCGTCCTCCTGCGGTCAGTTCCTCTGCCAGGGAGCCCTATGGGTGCCTTACCTGGCCCGAGTGCAATGGCATCTGTGTCTCTTCCTGACTCATTCCCTCTCCCTATTTCCTTCCAGCCATCTGTCTTTTGGACACTTTCTTTTCTTGCATTTGTTTCCCTCGCTGCTGTGCCCGACTTCCATTGCAGCCTGATTGTTTCTGACATAGGGACCACGCAGCCGGGGGTGAGGGCTGCTTGTGCCGGGTGTGCTTGGTGTGCTGTCAGTCCCTGCACAAGTCAGTTCACAGCACACAGGTTTTAAACCTTCTGCAAACAGATATTCCAGGCTGGAGCTCCCAGTCTTAAAAATAAATTCGTTTCATTATGTGCACACACACACATATTTCTCAAGCCTGTGCGTCAGGTGTTTGCTTCTCCTTACTGCCTTTATAAGAAATCCTGTCACAGCCTCTGTGTAATGCTGGCCTCAGGAACTGGGATTGCTCCTGAATCACAGCAGAGTAGTGAAAAGGTCTCCTCACCTTCTTTTCCTTGTTCCTGCAGAAGCGCCTGGAAGATGCTTTGCAAGCTCGTCAGAAGGAGATGGAGAACTTCTTGCGGAGGAAGCATGCGACGCAGGAAGATATCTGTGGCCTGACGGTAATGCCCTGTGATAGCTGCTTTTTGTACAGCCCCTGGGTTAATGTTCATAGAGGGTCTGCGTATCACTTCAGCTGATATTTAGCTCAGCTTCCTGTAAAAAATCAGGCAAATAATTATGTAGGGATCTGAACAATCTCCCCTGCATGTAGGCCAAAGCCCATCACTACTGAATATTCAGTGGAGGCTTTGGGAAGAGGCATTAAGCACTCATTAATGCAGTGTTTACAAGGTGTGTTGGTGCAGCAGAGCCGAGATAGGGTGAGTGGTGAGAGCTGTCGGCAGAGCAGCCTGTTCTGGCCCTGCAGCGCTGCCACTTTGGGAGGGGATTAATTCTTGGAAGCTCTAAAATCCTCTTGTATGTCTGAAGGGCTGGCACCAAAGCTGAAGGAGCTGGGTCAGCAGCAATGTTGGCACTGCAGAGAGCAGTGGCCTTGTCACAAGGACCATGTTTAGATTCGCTGCGAAGCTCTGAGATGATGCGAGGAGCCCGAGTGCTCTCTCCAGGTTTGAGTGGCACCAGGCCGCCTCCTTGTCACTGATCAATGAAGCAAGAACAGCCACAGGCTGACTGCGCTTCCTTCTTGAGTGGCGTGAAAGTATTACAAGCCAAGGAAGGAGGGTTTAAGGAAAACACAAGTAGTTCAGAGGTGAGATAAAACTGATGGGACCCTGCCTTCTGACTGGAGTCTCTGATCCCCCCTGCCTGCAGTGTGTTTCATACCTCTATCCCACTGCCAGGTTTGGAATACACCTTTGAGGTTAATGAAGAAGTGTTAGCAAATACACATGTGCGGCCGATGTCCTGTTGCAGTGAAAGAGCTGACTAAGAGGTGCTTCAGGAGTCAAGGAGCAAATTGCGGATCTGAACGGGGAGGCCTTGCATGTCCTCTGTGGTTCTGGTGTGTCAGCACGAGCACCTGCTAGAGCAGAGGGAGGCTGGGGTGCTGTGCTGGCTGGTGAAGCTTCAGATGTACTCTGGGGGAGACAGATTTCCTGCTGGTAGAAAGAGATGTGTGTTTCAGGAAGCGCTCCTCAAGAAAATAATGAGGGCCAAGGTTGCACTTAGAGATTAAAAGCTTAAAGATTGGGAAAATGAAGAGTCATTGGCTGTTTCTTGTAAACAGGCAGGAAGGCAGTGAGAGCACCACAAGGTCGGCTGGCCGACTAAACAACTGGAAAAAAGTGACCTCTGAAAAGAGCCGAATGGGATTTTATCAGCGTTAACTACAGAGATTAGTTCCTGCACCTCCCCCGTCTCTCCCATACAAACAGGAGCCCTGAGAGAGGGAGGCATCAGAGAAAAAGAGCAAGTTACCAGTGTTGGGCAGCTCTGCCTAAGGTCTGGCATGATGTGAAATAAATCCCAACTAACCTGAACAGCTGAGTCCGCAGCTCCAGAAAAGCAAAAGAGCTCCAGTCTTGCACACAAGCAAATTCCTGGTGGTGTGGGAGAGGGCTGTGGGCTCCCACTGTGGCTGTGTGCAACGATTTCTAGTTAAGGTGACCAAGCCGTTGGTAGAGCTTGCGTTTGTGTGGTTTTGTTTTGTTTTGTTTTTTCCCCCCTTTGGCTCTGCAGCCTTGAAAGTTGTCCTTGTGTCCTGTTCTCCATCCAAAAAGTTGTGGGTATGTCTGAGACTCTGATTTCCAGGACTCTAAGCAGATTAACAGGCCCAGCCATCCCATGCACCTACTTGTGTTTTAGGTGCCACACTCAGATTCTGCCTTTTCCCTCTGCTCAGAAGGTGTCTGGGGAGCTGACCTTCAAGATCCGTGCAGAGTTTGCCCGCCTTCATCAGATTCTGGAGGAAGAGGAGAGAGCTGTGCTGGCAGAGCTGGGCGAAAAGGAAGAGCAGTTGCTGGCACGGCTGCACAGGGACGTCCACCGGCTGGAGGAGGGGATGTCAGTGCTGCAGCGGGACATAGAGCGCATAGAGCAGACCCTGAGCAAGATGGAAGAGGTGTCGTTGCTGGAGGTGAGCGTGCTTGGCTGACCCTGGCAGGAGGCTGAGGGGTGTTTCAGGATCTGAATTTGGGATGGGGAGGGTCTTAAATGACAGCACTAGGCTGTACCTGGAAGTTATTCTCACTGCCATCCCTCCGGATTATCTACCCAACCCCTTGGAGCCTGGAGGCTTTAGCCACATGGGATATGGTGATCTCTCCAGTGTGGTGGGTCTCGGGAGCCTTCCTCCTCCCTTGTCACTGCTGTGAAATTGCCTTGGCTGCAGTGCCCAGGCAGTTTCCCCCAGGGTGGGGGTCCTGGCAGGTTGGTTTCCTGTCTCTGTGCTGTGTGACAGCAGGAGGCAGAACAGGGAGCTTTTTTTACAGCTGCATGAATTACAGACAGTGACTGCTAATTCTCTCTGCTCCTCACTGCAGGTGGAGAGCCTGGATATCAGGTAAGTGTCTGGCATGAAAGAAGCTGTTTCCCTTTGCAGAAGCTTATCTCTGTCCCTGGCTGGGACCACATGGGGAGGGATCTTATCTCAAGTTTTAAAAGCATCACAAATTGCTCAGTGAGCTGCTGGTGCTGTGCTAGGTGGGGGCTGGTCCCCAGCACATGTTGGATGCTCTCCCCAGGGAGTATGTGTGTCAAGACAGCGGGGCTGAAGAGCGGATGGAGATGGGCTGGTTTGGAATGGGTGCAAGAGCCATGCTCGCTGCAAGCGAGAACAAGGCTGATGCCACAGGCTTTGGGTGCTTTGGCTTCTCCCTGCCCTTTCTTAGCTTCTTACAACACACAGGGCTGCAAAACTGACCCTGAGGTGCAGGATTGTCTGAGGCTGTGAGTAGCTGAGGGCCAGAACTGCCATAGGGGAGTGTGTCCCTGTCCCCTCCCCGGGGGCCACAGTGGGATGCAGCCTGGCTCCGCAGGCCTGGCCTGTTCACCCATGCAGGAGTCCTGCTTGGGTGTGCTAGGTGCTGGTCTGCCGTGAGTCACTGCTCCACGAGCGGTGCTGCCAGATCTGTCTCGGTCCACAACGCCTCTGCCCTGAGCCCCTTGCCACGCCAGGGGTAGCGCCACATCAGGGGGAGCAAGCAGCTGCCAGGGAGGTTTGTGTCCCATCTTTACCAAATCCGTCGTGTGCAGTAGCATGCTGCAGTCCTGACCGCGCTCTTCCCGTGTGCCTCGCTAGCAGCGCGGCAGAGGGGTTGACTGCCGCTCTCTCTGCCCCAGGCCCTCGGTGCGTGTTGAGATCCAGCCTGCCTTCGACCTGGAGCGCTACAGGGACAGCCGCAGCGGCCCTTTGCAGTACATCTTCTGGAGACAGATGCTGCAGTCCATCTGCCCCAGTGAGCGGATCGGCATGAGGGATGGATGTGCTGGGTGGTGGCAGGGCTGGGGATGCTCTGCAGAAGGAATATGCAACCGGTAAAATGCTGTGCTCAATGTCTCCACAGCTCCTGCCCCGCTCACCTTCGACCCTGAGTCAGCCCACCCCAACCTGGTCTTCTCCAGAGACCTGACAGCAGTGACAGAGAGGGATCGAGCCCAGCCCGTCCCCATCAGCCCCCGGCGCTTCCGTCAGTGCGTCAACGTCCTGGGCTCACGGACCTTCGACAGTGGCCAGCACTACTGGGAGGTCTGGGTGGGCAGCAAAACCAAGTGGGACCTGGGGGTGGCCGCCGAGGCTGTGGATCGGGCGGCGAAGGTCAAGCTGTGCCCGGAGAACGGCTACTGGACGCTTCGCCTGCGGAACAAGACAGAGTACTGGGCCACCACCACTCCCTGGGTGCGCCTGACTCCCCGCCGGCCACCCCGGAAAGTGGGGGTCTTCCTGGACTGCCAGGAGGGCACCGTTGCCTTCTTCGATGCTGGGGACATGTCCCACCTCTTCACCTTCCACCATCTCTCTGCAGAGAGATACTGCCCCTTCTTCAGCACCTGTTTCAGTGATGGGAGGGACAACATGGAGCCCATGCGCCTCTGCCACCTCGCTCTGTGAGGGACAGGGGTGCTTTGGAGACACCAGCCTGGCTCCGTGTCTCTCCCCGCAGTGCTGCCGGTGGGCTGCCCGGGGCTATGCTGCAGGCTCACCTTGCACACATGGACCTGGTGGGTGTTGGAGGGGCTGTTTTGCTTTCAGTTTTGGGAGGGTGGAGGGGGATGAGTGTCTTCCCGGCTCCCATCTGCCCTCCCTTCTCTGTGCCATGGTCTGTGGGTGCTGCACCGCCTTCCTGGAGGTGCCTGGCACCCCTTGAAGACCAACCTGTGCCTGAGCATTGCATGTTTCAGTAACCAAAGCCACAGAGCTGTGGTGGAGGTGGCCGCAGGCTGCTTGCACCTCCTCTTCCTGTGCACTCCCACCCATAAACCCTGGGGAGGAGAGGGTGGTGGTCCCAGATCATCATCAGGTGCCTCTTGATGCTCAGCTCCATGTCCCAGGGGCGCGTGGGCTTCCTCTGCTCCCAGAGCTTCGTGGGGAAGGGCTGCGGGCCAGCGGCAGAGGGAGCTCGGTGCACAGCGTGGGACCCACCAGGGACTGTGGCACTGCCTCCTCTCAACTCTTGCACCATTAAAGCTCATTAGAAAGACCAGTGCTTGCTGGACCTGCTTAGGGCTTGCATGCTGGGGGGGGAATCTATTGCACTGGGGTGTAGCAGAGCCTGGGGGCACAGAGCTGACCCCTGCTCCAGGCCAGGCTCCTTCCCTCCGCCTGCAGCACAGGAGGCACAAAGAGCCGTTGCTCTCACTCGGCCCTTCCCTGGGAGCGCTCCCTGCACATCTTGCAGTGGCTCTTGGCCTTTTGCTTCCCCCCCTGCCTCTGTGGGGCTGCTCGGGGAACGCGGTGGGGGTTTGGCAGCCCCGTGGGGTGGGGAGGCTTGTCTGAGCCCAGCCGTAGGCTCTTGGGTTTTAAGATCCAGTCTCCTCTGGCCTGCCTGGGTCTTAAGGATTTGTATATGTGAGAAATGCAAAGTCCCATTTCAGGCCAACTTCATGAAAGCCCCAGCAGCCTTCACTGCCTGGAGCGAGCGGTCCCAGCGTGCCTCTTTGCCTGTCAGCCCCACTGGCAGCGCTGCCGCTGCGGGAGGGTGGCCGGGGGCTCCGGGGCTGCTGTGGTTGGTGCCTGGGGGTGCTGGCCGCATCCCCAGCTTGCTTGGCCTCGCTCACGAGTCAGCGGAGTTGACTTGAGGCAGGAGGTGCTGGGGTGGGTCCGAGCCTGGCTGGTGGGAGCCGTGAGTGGGAGGGAGGATGGCAGTGCCTGGGGTGGGTGGGATTGTCCTGTTTATCCCACTCAAGTCCACTCCAGGGTGAAAGCAGAGGCTGGAGCTACCCCGATCCTGCGTAGCCCCTGGTGCTGGCTAGAGCCTGCAAATTCCTCCTCTGCAGAGGCTCAACTTTCTGTGCTGCAGGAAGGGCCAGGCACGGGGGCTTTTCAGCTCCCACAGCTGGGCACAGGGACACTGGCCAAAGCAAGTCCTTCGCTGGTCATCCCCCGGCCCAGCGGGGATGGGACAGGGGGCCCCGTCCTCCCATGGTGCCACAGGGGACATTCCCCCTTATGGTGCACCACCACTGCAGCGTGCCAGGGCCAGGCTCCACTGCAGCACCCGGTTTTGGGGTTGCCTAATGCCTGTGCTGGGGCAGGAGAAGACTTTGTGCTCAGCCGGCGGGCGGGGTGACCCGTGCAAGACGCAGGCAGATGTGCTCTCCAGTGCAGCAGCACCAAGCAGCCTGGAGCTCTGCAGACATGGGGTGGAGGTGGGTGCAGAGGGGACCCAGTTATTGGGAAGCTGCTGCTCTGTGGAGCCTTGCTTGGGGGTTGGGTGTGCTTGGAGGGGCTGTCAGGGGTTTCTGCTCCGTCCCAGTCCCCAGTTGGGCTTGAGCTGGTGGGTGAGCTCTGCTCCCTCCCTGCTGAGCCCCTGGGCTGGACTCTGAGCCTCCTCTCAGGGCTCCTGCCTCGTCCTCTCGCTGTCCCCCAGCCTCAGCTGAAATAAGAGTGGAGAAGAAAGAGCTGTTGGCTTGGAAATGCTGCTGTGAGCAGGAAGAGGTCCCGGTGCAGGGGGCTGTCATCCCCCCTCCAAGGGCTGGGAGCCTCTGCGGGAAGGTGAGGCTGGCTTGATCTCAGTGGGGAGCTGTGGCTGGGGGAGCTGAAACCCATCACCTCCCTGACCTGCCCC